TTTGCAGAACCAGGGATTGAACTCAGGTCCTTGGGCTTGCCAGGCAAGCGCTTACTCAACTGAGCCATCTCCCTGATGCCAGGGCACAGTTTTAAAGGTGACAATTTATGGCCTTTAAGTGGTGCTAGCTGTGTGCACATACCAAAATTGATCAGGTTGCCCACTTTTCCACTGTGTGATATATGGTACATCAGTTATCCCCCAGGGATGCTGTTTTTGAACTCCTCTAAGTTAAAATATCTTCAGCCACTGAACTAAATTCCCTAATTAAATTGGCCATCCTTGTTCTTTGAGGACTCAGTATGTCTCATCCTCCACCCTGGATTTGGGAGTAGGTTGGTTCAGATTTCCAACACAGTACAAGCTGTCTTGCCAGGCTTAGTTAGTTCCAAGAGGAAGCACAAAGCCCTGAAAGCCACTGAGTGGACACTGGCAGCACCTAACCCTGTGCCTACCAGGGGCTACTGTGTGGAGTGACACTGCCTCTGGAGAGGCTTGGTAATCTTACCTAGGTAAGTCCCACAGCTGAGGAGTTTTCCCTCATTCAAAAGCCAAAATATTTCAGGGCCTTTCTTTTTTATGAACACAAGTTTTTATTGGTTTTCCTCTTCTTTTTTGATAATTTTTTACATTTGGTACAGGGTCTCACTATGCAGCTCAGACTCATAGTGATCCTTCTGTTTTTAGCCTCCCCAGCGCTGGGATTACAGGCATGTGCCACCACTCCAGGTCTTGGTGGCTGGCTCAGCATTCCCTGGGGTGGGGCCAGAGCATGTGGTGCCAGGGATTGAACCCAGTCCCTGTGCTTGCCTAAGCAGGCACAGTCCACTGAGCTGTCTTGCTGGCTCTTGCACTGTTCCCCTCTGCAGATGTGTCTAGTTGAGTCAATTGCTTGAAAGTCTGTAAACAAATTGTCATACTACATAACACTCTTAGTTCCTCACTTAAAATATGTAATTTAATTAACATGTTCTGTTAAAATCCAACAGGTTTTTCTTTTACCTGTGTCCCTGCACATATCTGGTTCTCTCTAAACCACCAGTTTCCAGATTGTCAAGTTTCCTCTAAACACAGTGTGTATATAAACAGTTTGTTTTCTACTGACATTGTCTAGCTTCATAGTGCTGAGATTTTATATGATTCATGGAGGTTGGGTGTAGGTGGTGGATTTTATTTTTAAATTTCTGTGATACTGGGGATATAACCCAGGGCCTTTGCACTGAGTTACAACCCTAGCTCTTTCTCTTTTTTGTTTGTTGTTTTGTTTTGCTTTGAGGCAAGTTATCACTATGTAGTGCAGGCAGGCTTTGAACTCACTATATAGCCCAGGCTGGCCTCAGACTTGTATTGATCCTCCTTCCTCAGCTTCTGGAGTGCTAGTATTAGAGGTGTGTGCCACCGTACTGGACTTCCAGCCCTTTTTATTTTTATTTTGGTTTTGTTTTTGATGTTTGTTTGTTTGTTTGTTTGTTTTTGAGACTAAGGCTGTTTTTATTTTGAGATACAATCTTGCTAAATTGCTAGGCTGGGCTTGAATTTTCAGTCCTCTGGTCTCAGCCTCTTAGAAGGCTGGGATTGCAGGTGTGTACCACACATGTGGTTTGATCAACTGTTCCTCCTTTTTTTTTTTTTTTTTTTTCCAGAACCAGGGACTGAACTCAGGCCCTTGCACTTGCCAAGCAAGCACTTATTCTAATGAGCCGTCTCCCCAGCCCCAAGTCAACCGTTTCTTAACATAGCACTAACACAGTTCCTGGTGCATGCTAGATGTTCAATAAATATAATTTTGTTTGTTTTTGAGAGGGGACCTCACTGTGCAGTTCAGGCTGGCCTTGAGCTCACTAACCCAGGTTTGGGTTGAACTCACAGAGATATTTCAGCTCAGCCTCTCCAGTGCTGGGATCACAGGTGCGCCTCACTATGCCCCAGCAAGAAGGAAGTGATAAAAAATACAGGCATTTTCCTTATCTCTCTTATTCCAATTGGCATACATTTAACGAGCTTGATGGATCTCCATGGGAACTTTCTGCCGCTTCATCCCTTCCCTGTTCTGATGGCACTGAGATCCCCAAATGTCATCACTCTGTGCCTTGGACTGCCACCCTCCTAATCAATCTGCATCCTGTGCAGGTGATGGCAGGATGGTTACTCCAGATCTGCTATCTAGAAGCAATGGAATCTGGAAGAAATGAGTCACCTTAATGGCCATGCCTCAGTTTCCTTATGTGTGTGTGTGGAGATCAGAGTCTTCTTCAGCAGGCTTCTGTATATGAAGAAAGCAGGTGTGCCTATGCTGCACCTAGTGTGCCGTGAACAGGAGCTGCTCCTATAGCAGGAGCCACAGGTCTTCCTCAAGCACTGTGTCTTTTCTTGTGGCTCCCAAAGTTAAGGGAGGAGGGGTTTACCTAGCTCACAATTTGCAGAGGCTTCAGCTCAGAGTCACCTGGCTCCAGGGCAGAGGGGAATGGCAGAGGGGAAACAGTCTATGGCACAGCAGGCAGGAGGCAGGGAGGCAGCAGGAGGCAGGGAGACAGCAGCCAGCAGCTGCCTTCTTTCTGTCCCTTTACTGGTGCCATGCATGCCCAGAGAGGGGATTCTGTTAGCCATGCCTTTAATCCCAACATCATACCCTTAATGTGCATTCACATACCTTTATCCATCCACTTTCAAAACTCCCCACCCGAAGAGCGCACAGGGCTTGGGGTTACATCTAGATACAATACAAACCATAGCACACTTTGAATGCATACTACCTCCAAGTGCTTCCAGCTGCTTTTCATAAGAATTTTCTTTTTTTTTTTTTTTTTTTGAGACAAGATCTCACTATCCAGTTCAGACTG